CTGATTTGAAGAACCGTCTTAGGAGCCTCACTACCATTGATTTCAATCCTTTGAAATATTATGCATGTATATATGCAATAGATTACCTTTATTCGATAAGGCTTCCGCGTGTATTTTGCTATGTTTCTAATGTAAATAAACAAAACAGTCTTTACTATTAACATTAAATAGTTCAGTCTATCACATCCAATAAACCGTTTTGGAGGTACAAAAAGCGGCATATATATTTTGTTGTTAAAGATAATGATAGAAGTCTGTCCTAATATTTATCATTATTTCAATTACAATTACTACAAATATTGAGTAGCAAAAAATTTTAAAACCAGTCACTGAATTGCTTCAAAAATTAACTACAGATGGCGGGAAACGATCGAAAACAATAAGGTATTCATATGCTAAAAATGAAAGATCAAAAAATTATAAAAAACCTATTTTCTTCTTATTTTTAGTTTTTTGCAAGAACAAAATTTTAGTCATGAAACAAATAGATATTTGATGAACCAAATCTGTTTATGAGGACTGTTTTCGAATCAACTGTTTTTGAGGACTCGTAATACAGTTTTTTTTTGGTCGAATTTTTTTAAAAACCCTGCCGCTTGGTAGTGTAAATCAAATACGTGAATATAAACGGTTCATCTTAATGAATTTTAAAATTATTTTTTATTATTTTTTTATTTTTATTTATTATTTTATTTAGTATTTTTATTATTTTTTATTATTTTTATTTGTCGAAATTCCCATAAGAAAAAATGCTTTACAAATATTTTAATTAAATTAATATATAATACATATCTATTTTTGTAAATTTATTAAAAATTATTTTAACTTAAAAAGAATACATTGTTAATATTTGAATTCTTTTTTATGTACATATATATGTATTAAATCGCTTTTAAAAAAATTATTTTATTTACTTTAATATATACCTATACCTTATCACCGTCTTTATGTATGTTTAACAAATTAAATTTGTTAAAAGTAAATCTATCAAAAATATTATTATCTGAAATATTTTCCCATATTAAATATAGAATTTGACTGATGGTATAAATTTGACAAAGTGTTATATTATTTAGGTGAAAATACAGATACACCCACTAAAAGATATCAAAGTAAAAAATTAATTTAAGCATTTTATTTTTATCATCATTTAAATGTAGCTTTAAAGATAAACGCATTATTTAAATTGCAATCACTCCATATCTATATATATATATATATATATATATAAGTCATTTTGGCAATATAGAAATATTTAAATGTGAAGTCCTAAAAGGGCTCACCGATAACAGTTGTTATAAAATTATTTAGTTTTATTATTTTATTTTTTAAAGAAGATCTCATCTTTATCTTTATCTTATCTTTATCTAGATAACAAAATATATATATTATTTTATTTTAATTCATTTTATTTTATTTATTCATTCAATATATACAAACAATATTTTTTATCTATACAGAAAATTTTAAAGTACATTCATTCTGCTCCATCTTTGCTTAATAAAATCTGCAGCACGTTCAGCAATCATTATAGTTGGTGCATTTGTATTCGCAGTAGGGATTTTGGGCATTATGGAAGCATCGGCTAAACGCAAGTTGTCAACACCAAGCAATTGCAAACGTGTATTAACGCAAGCGGTTTTATCATTCTTACCACCCATTTTTACTGTACCAACAAGGTGATAGAGTGCTGTACTAAAATACTTTGTATAACATCGCCAATAGCGTTCTGTCTTAAACTCGTATCTATCACACTCCTTTATGGGAATGTGTAATAGATTGACCTCATTTTCAACAAATGCATTTGTTCGTTCCATTCTGTCGTGGTGAATTCTAGATCGTACAAATGTTTCAATATCGTCATCGATTTTTAAAAGATTTGCGATAATAATTGGATGGTCTTGAAAGTTTCTACTACGCAACTTAAGTTGCCCAACCGATTTTGGATGAGCAATTGATGTCAGCACCACCATTACATGTGCAGTTTTGATCACATTATGTAAATTCCGTGATACCTCATCATTATAAGACATTCCTTCTAGAAATATTCTCAAGCCGTCGTGATCCTGACATCTGAAAAACAATTGGTGCATTTCAATAGTTGGTGTAGTTGTTCCACGATTTTTAGTATCGATAAAACCAGTTGTAGCTGTTAAACCCAAACTGCTTAAAGGTCCATTGGAGTGAAACAGATAATTATAAATATTATCTAGTTTTTGCTGCTCTGTTATTGGCATTGCAGTACCTTTCTGTATAGCGTAAAAAAGTGGCACACCTACGTGATCTTGTAGATTTTTACCTACAGGTAAATCATGTATGACTGGTATTTTTAATTCCTGCAGATCTAATTTAGGACCCACACCAGATAATAACAAAAGATTACCTGAATTAATGGTGCCAGCAGAAAGCACATATTCTTTTTTTGCTCTCACGGTGAACCAATATTTTCCACGCAATAGAAGGGATATCGATTTTACCCTCTTTCCATTTTTTTCGAAATTCAATTTTGTAACTTTAGTATTTTTCATGACATGCAGATTTGGACGTTTTGAAACTTTACCCAAATGACCCTTTCCACTGCCCATACGATGGCCATTTAATACAGTGCCATACACATCTGTATAACCTACTTCACTGTTTTCAATAAATTCCCGAACTATCGGAATTTTGAGTTCGTCCGCAGCTCTTCGAATAATACGTTTTATGTCCTCATCAAAAGACGCATAATGATTCAGTGCGACATAACCTTGTGGATGAGTGTCGTTTCCAACTGGTCGCACAGATTTCTCAAAATAAGGTAATACATCCTCCCAACCCCAGCCATCATTACCATCTTCCAACCAACCATCGTAATCATGACTGTTACCACGAATATATATCATGCCATTCATAGAACCGGTACCACCAATCATTTTGCCAGTAAGCATATAACACTGTCGATTTTTAAGTGCCCAGCATGCCACCTCACTTGGTTCAGCATAATAATTATTTGAGTAATTGGTTTGAGCCATGGTGAACATAAATGGTGGTGCCTAAGAATAAAAACGTTTTTACAACTAAATAAGCAACAACTAATTTTGGAAAATACCTCTGATTCTTGGGGGGGATCACCGCCTTCCTCAAGCACTAACACTTTCCAGTTAGGATTTTCTGTTAAACGACTTGGTACTACTGAACCTCCTGATCCCGCACCAATAACAACAAAATCATATTTATCCAAGCCATGTAAAATTGCTTGATCACCATAATCTGGAGGCCAAAATTCTGGAGGCGACAAAGCGCATTGCGCTGCTAGAACTGCCTGTATAAGCCTAAATGCAAAAGAGTCAAAAACTCCAACGCTGCGACCAGGGCACTGTGCATTGGATAATGTATCCAACATTTTTCCAAATGTTATTCACTCTATGCAACACTCGTTGGACTTGTGTTCAATTAGATTTCTGTTTTTATACTGCATTCCCAAAAATGGTTTTTATTTTTAGAACTAGAGAATTAAAACAAACGCTAGCATCTTATCGAGTCAATATTAAATGTTTGGTTTATTTTTTGAGATATTTATTGTACATCAAAATTTTTAAATAAAATATTTTTATTTCGCGTGATACACTTCTCCAGAAATAAAATCTATTATCTTGCTAAAATATGTACATATAACAAATTGCTCAAGATAATAGATACCCTATCAAGTACATATATTCTTCATATGTTCGAAACTTAACTGTATCTTAAAATCTTTCAATTTTTTATTCCAACAAAGGAGTTTTTTATTTTATATACTTAAATAGAATATTATTTTGTCTAATATTAATCAGAAACTCTGATATTAAAATTATTACTATCTTTTCCGAACTTTTCGTAAATTTTTTTACTTTATTTATAGTTCAATAAACTATATTTTTAACAAGAGAGTCTATAATAAATCGCAAATTTATATATATAAAACCGAATCCAACTATAAGTCACTTCTGTTAGCTTTAACTCGTTTTGAGAAGCAACAGGGCAAAATAGAATTTGAATGCGACCTATTCAAAAGCTGTTAAACAAACTTTTTAATCTTATTCAGATGTCGCTAGATATATACTAGATATATAAAAAAAATTAATTGATAGGTAGATTATAGAAAAATTACGGAGATGAAATTATACAGAGCTCTACGATTTTCAATTACATTCAGCGTTACCAATAAAATTCAGAACACCTGATAATCGTACTCTTTCAGATGCTAGTTTCTATTAAACTACCTACGTATCGATTGTTCACCAAGAATTCAGCTCCATCTCATTTTGTATTATTTATAAGAATACTATATCTTTTAATGCTCTATAAAACTATATATATATTATATTTAAAAAGTTGTAACAAATTTTAACACAATTGTAAATTTGTTAATATGTTTTAATATATATCTAAAACTTTTCGCATAAATGAACTTAAATTATTTTTGAACTAAATCTTTAATAAATAATAATAGTTATTTCGAATAATATTAAATCACAACAATAAAATTTTATTATATTATTAATGAATTGAATTTTTGGCTGACCATACAGCTGTTTCGAATATTATCAATACCAGAGAGAACTATTTTCTATATTTAATTATTCGTAAATAATTTTTTGAGACTCCAAGTACCAAGGATTGAACTTTTGACCTGCCCAATTTGCAGCTAAGAGTCAGTGTTCATTAGCCAACTGAGCCAAAGCCGTACTTGACTTATATCTTTGAACTTGGTGTTTTTTGTTAATTTTCTGTGAAAGTTCTTTGACAAATCCACTTAATGTGTTATATTATAATTGAATTAATTAATTACATTTTTATTTAAAATTCTTAAATTTTAATACTATTCTTTTGTAGAGGCGTTATTTATTTTATATTATTTATATTAAATAAATTTATGTATACGATATTACATACAAAAATATTTAAATTGTAAAAAATTTTTAATTTCAATTTTTTTTTTAATAAATATATAATAATTATTTCTTACATATTATTCGGAGTGTTAACTTAAATGATATGTATTTTACTATAATCTTCCTTAATAAAATCTGCAGCTCTTTCCGCAATCATTATAGTGGCTGCATTTGTATTTGCACTAGGAATCTTAGGCATTATAGAAGCATCCGCAACTCGTAGATTTTTAACTCCAAGTAATCGTAAACGTGTATCAACACAAGTATTTAAATCATTCTTATCCCCCATTTTCACTGTACCTGAAAGGTGGTGTAAAGTTGTACTGAAATACTTAAAATAGCACCGCCAATATCGATCCGTCTTATACTGGTATTGATCGCATTCTCTTATTGGAATATGCATCATACGTACATCATTAATTAGAAATGCATATGTTTGCTCCATTCTGTCATGGTGCATCATTGCTTGTAATAATGTTTTTACATCGTCATCATGCTCCAAATAATTTGTGTAGATTAACGGATTATCACGAAAATCTGTACTGTTTAATTTTACTTGCCCAACCGATTTTGGATGTGCAAGTGCTGTGAGCACTACCATTATATGTGAAGTTTCGATCTTACTAAATAAATACTGAATTAAGTCATTTTTGAAAGACATTCCTTTAAGAAATATTTTTAAGCCGCCTTTATCTTGTCGCTTAAATAGCAAATGATGAGTTTCAAATTTCGGAAACGGACCGGTAAATTCAGGATCAACAAAACCTGTAAGTGACGTTAAACCCTGGCTACCTAATGGTCCTCTTGAATGAATTATGTAGTTGTAGATATTGTCTATATTTTCATTTTCCGTTATAGGCATTGCAAAATCTTCTTGTATTTGGAAAAAAATTGGAACAGTGACATGATCCTGTAAGTTTTTACCTACAGGTAAATCATGTATGACTGGTATTCTTAGTTCTTCTAGATCTAATTTAGGACCCACTCCAGATAATATCAAAAGTGCTGGAGAGCCAATGGCGCCAGCAGAAAGAATATATTCTTTTTTAGCGCTCAAGCTGAACTTGTATTTTTCACTTACTTCAAACGATACTGACTTCACTGCTTTACTATTTTTATCAAAATTCAGTTTCGTAACGCGTGCATTTTTTATAACACGTAGATTTGGACGTTTCCCAACTCTGCTCAAGTGACCTTTACCACTGCCCATACGACGCCCGTTTTCGATTGTACCATACAAATCTGTGTAACCAACTTCGCTGTTTTCAATAAACTCTCTAAATGAAGGCACACCAACTTCAGCAGCAGCATCTTGAACAATGTATTTTATATCTTCATCAAAAGATTCGAATAGATTTATTGCAACATAACCTTCTGGATGTGTTTCATTTCCAACTGGTCGCACAGACTTCTCAAAATATGGCAATACATCATCCCAGCCCCAACCAATACTACCGTCCGTTACCCAATCATCAAAATCCTGTTGATGACCCCGTACATACAACATACCATTCAGTGAACCAGTGCCGCCAAGCATTTTGCCACGCGGTATATAACATCGTCCTCCTTCAAATGCCAAGCAAGATATTTTACTTGGCTCCGTGTAAAAATCATAAGTATATCTTGTTTGAGTCATCGTGAACATAGTGGATGCGGCCTAAAACGATTAGATTATATTTATTATAGAAATTTATGTTAACGTTAAATACCTCTGATTCCTGTGGTGGATCATCACCAGCTTCCAGTACTAACACTTTGTATTCAGGATTTTCTGTCAACCGACTAGGAATTACTGACCCCGCCGATCCAGCACCAATTACAATAAAATCAAAATCATCAATGTCATTCAGCAACGCATTTTGTGCATAATCTGGTGGCCAGGTTTCTGTTGGCGATATCATGCACTGAGCGGCTAGTATTGTCTGTATCAATGCTGTTACTTGAGAGTTTATTGCTCCAACGCTTCTTGCAGGACATTGTGACATTGTGCCTAACATTTTTCTAATCACGTCTGTCTTCAAGTAATATCCGCTGGATTTGTGTTTATTTGAAGTACTGTTTTTATACTGTTCTTCAAAAAAAATTTTTTGTACTCAGAACTAGACAATTAAAACAAATAATGGCATCTTATCAAAGCTATATGTTTGGTATAATTTTTGAGAAATTTATTGGCTAAGTGAGTTTTTTGAACTATTTGTTTTTCAGCCCGCATTGCAAATTTTTTAAAATATTAAGAATGTTATCTTGTCAAATTATCTGCATCAGAATAAATAAAGAAGACAATAGATGCCCTGCAAGGCGCACGAGCATGTATTTTTGATAGGAACTACGAAATTAAAAAAAAACCCTCTGCCAGTTTATAAATTTGTGTATATGTGAGTGTTTGTCTATCTATATGTGTCTTGAAAGTACTTACTTACTTACTTAGTTGGCCATTACAGACGTGTGTCGTCCTTGGCCGCGTCGAGTAGCCTCCGCCAGTCAGCCCGATTAGTTGCCTTCTGACGCCAGTTGGTAGTACCGACCGCCCCCAAATCATTGGTCACCTGGTCCTTCCACCGAAGATGCGGACGTCCTCTACCGCGTTTTCCACCTGCGGGTATCGAATCAAATACCTTTCTAGCCGGAGCACTTTCTTCCATTCGCACGACATGACCAAGCCAGCGTAGCCGCTGAATTTTTATGCGCTTAACTATGTCAATGTCGCGGTGTCTTGAAAGTAATAATATAAAATACCTAGACTACTTAGGATTAATTAAATTAAATGCCTAGATACAACTGCGATATAGAGTACTAACTTTGATTAAGATTTCTAAATAGGAAATTCTGGAACTATCATTATGTTCTAACAAATATTTGTTTTCGATATCTATTTTAAAATAGCAAATTTAAAAATCTTGAACGATCGCTGTAACCTTTATGAAATTGATAGATACTTTTGAAAGATGTTAGAAAGTGATAAAACTAAAGAATATTACTTTTTTAGTTTTATTTATTTTATTTATTTATATATAATTGAGTCACTATATGGGAATTAAAAAAAAAAAGGGAATTATTATTAATTATATATCACATTTATTATATTTTTTATTATGGAATCAAGTATATGCTTGGAAAGCGTTCTGTATAAATATCGCCTGTGATCTCTCTATTCTCACATATGGCTCCATTTTCTACTAAAATATAATACCTATGTCAATGTTCTGAGTTATAGAAGTAGCTATGTTTTCAAGAAAATATCTGTATTATAAATTCACTGGGACTTATCTTGATACCCGATGCGTTCGATGTGGAGTTAGAACGTGCTATTGTAACATATGATTGTAATTAGGATTTAGGCTATTAGACTTATTGATATAAGTATTATGATTATCCGGTATATGTTATGTTTAATTTCTAAATATTTGAAGCCATATTCAATATATCATTGCAAATATATAATAGTTGCGAGTATATATTGTCAAGTAATGCCGTGTTTTTTAAAAATCACTAATCCAAAAAAAAGTAATACTTTATTTTGCGAAAAATCTTATGACAAAAAAAATTAATCTAATCCTTCGGATAGGTGACCACCTTTTAGAAAAAAAAGCCTTTAACCCTGAACAACATTTTTAAGTTCATACTCTTTGATGAACCCTTTTCGGATTTCGTTTAAAGAAATTCTGATTTCTCTTTATTTTTTACAGTCCAATACGTATAATTATTTCTGGACATATATGAGGCCATTCAGAGTGCCATAATTTTGATATGATAACCAATATCGAATTGCAGATGAATTCATCACAACTACCCTTCAGACTGTAAACAAGCTTGTGAACTCAAAGGTTCCGATACGGTCCTCGAGAGAAAATGCCTTTAATATGTCAAACTACATTTTTAATCAAACAAAACTATATTGTCGACACAAAATAAATATTTTTACTAATCATAATTTATGTTTCATTTTGTTCAGATAATTTAAATCTTTTGAAAAAAAATTTTTTTTAATTTATTTCATTTATTTTACATATCAAATATTTATAGCACTATATATATATATATATTTATCTCTTAAACTGCAATAATTATTTAAAATGCAATTGTACACATCTTGCATCTATCCTCTAAAATAAAATCTGCAGCACGTTCCGCAATCATTATAGTGGCTGCATTTGTATTTGCACTAGTGATCTTAGGCATTATGGAAGCATCCGCAACTCGCAAGTTTTTAACTCCAAGTAATCGTAAACGTGGGTCAACACAAGCAGTTAAATCGTTCTCGTCACCCATTTTCACTGTACCTGAAGAATCGTTAATTGTGGTACTGAAATATTTTATATAACAACGCCAATACCAATCTGTCTTAAATCTAGACTTATCGCATTCCTCTATTGGAATATGCATAATACGCACATCATTATCAATAAAAGCAGTTGTTTGTTCCATACTAATGTGATGTTCAATACCTTGTAAAATTGGTTTTATATCATCTTCGTCCTCTAAAAAATGTGTAATTATTTGTGGATCATCTTCATGCTTTGCACTACGTAATTTCACCTGGCCCAACGATTTTGGATGTGAAAGTACAATAAGTGCCATCATTATATGTGAAGTTTTGAGCGCTTTTAGCAAATGCGCAGAGGCCACTTCTCCAAAAGACATCCCTTTGAGAAAACCATTTAAACGATTATAATCATGGCGCCTGAATATTACGTGATGAATATTATTAGTGGGAAATGGACTAGGATTATTATTATCAGTATTAATGAAACCTGTGAACGATGTTAAGCCAGGACTGCCTAATGGCCCTTTTGAATGAATTACATAGTTATAAATACTATCCAACTGTTCTTTTTCCGATTTGGGTGTGGCAGTATATTTCTGTATTTGGAAAAAAATAGGAATAGAAACATGGTCTTGTAGATTTTCACCTACAGGTAAATCATGTATGACTGGTATGCTTAGTTCTTCTAGATCTAATTTAGGACCCACTCCAGATTTTAACAAAAGTTTTGGTGACTCAAAGGCGCCAGCAGAAAGAATATATTCTACTTTCGCGCTCACAGTCTTCTTCTGTTTTCCATTTATTAGCACAGATACTGATTCCACTGTCCTGCCGCTATTGTCAAAATTCAATTTAGTTACTTTTGTATTTTTCATAACATGTAGATTGTCACGTTTCCCAACTCTGCTTAAATGACCCTTACCACTGCCCATTCGATGCCCGTTTTCTATTGTACCATACAAGTCTGTGTAACCAACTTCGCTGTTTTCATTAAATTCTCTAAATAATGGCAAACCGAGTTCAGTAACTGCACCTTGAAGAATTTGTCTTATATCGTCATCAAAAGGTTCAAATTGAGATAGTGTAACATATCCTTCTGGATGTGTTTCATTTCCAACCGGACGTACAGACTTTTCGAAATAAGGTAATACATCATTCCAACCCCAGCCAATATTACCATCCGCTAACCAACTATCGAAATCCTGCTGGTTACCACGTACATAAAGCATGGCATCTGTGGAGCCAGTGCCCCCAAGCATTTTACCACGATAAAAAGTACACTTTCTGTTTTCAAATGCCCAGCAAGCATCTCTGTTTGGTTCGGTTATATAATTATAAGTATATTGTGTTTTCGCAGCGGTTAACATATAAGGTGGAGCCTGAAATTAAACATTTCTGAATTTTCACAAAAAAGAAACACAGTTCTAAAAATCTACCTCTGTTTCCTGGGGTGGATTATCGCCAGCTTCCAACACTAACACTTTATAATCAGGATTCTCTGTTAACCGACTAGAAAGTACTGAGCCCGCTGATCCGGCGCCGATTACAATAAAATCATAATCATCGAAGCCATTCAACAATGCGTATTCAGCATGATCTGGTGGCCAGATTTCTGCAGGCAATACTAAGCACTGAGCTGCTAGTATTGTCTGTATTAAAGTTGATACTTGGAAGTTCATTGTTCCAACACTTTGTGTAGAACATTGTGCAATCGGTACTGGGATTGACATTTCTTAAAATGTTGCTGTCTCTTAGTACTACCCGTTACGGTTGCATTTGCTACAGATTCTGCTTTTATACTTCATTTCAGAAAATATTTCTTGTACTAGAAATTAGACAATCTACATTTTCTTATCGAGTACTTCTTATCGAGGAATTTATTAACTTTATGAGTTTTTTGAACTACATTTATTTTATTATTTACTTTAATTTATTTTAATTTATTATTTATGTACAATGTATGCAGAACTGAAAATAATAGACCACAGTTTTTAGTGACGGATTATTTGACGCTGTCGTTTATAGGACATGTTAACGAATCACATGGCATCATTATAATTCACAAGTCGCTTCATAAATTTTTGTATATAAATAAGTATATATATATTTATATATAAGTGTATACATATATTATATATATATATACATATATATATACATATTTGCATAGATATATTTTGCTGTCAGCATTTTTGAAATACAAATAAAATTTAAAATGTATTTATTTTTTTATTTATTTCATAATTTATACACTTTTATGAAATTGTTTCTGTATCTTTTCATATCTTTCAACAATCTTGAAAGAATTAAATCAGTTGATAAAATACATGCATGAAGAAGCATGCGGTGTTCTTCTGTCAAGGCTTATTAAATTCAGAAATGTCCCCGTTACGTCCGGGTTACTGATATACAAGACAATTGTCTTACCAACACTTTGGATACGTATAGTATAAGAATCGTTATTTTTGATATTCAACGATATAGCAGAAATCATCAATAGCGAAAATTATATACAGGTATTGGTGGATTTAAACGAAAAGATCCCAAAACTACCACCCTAAATAAAAAAGCAGAGTACTACTTCATCAACAGTACTCTGTTGATCTTTGGTTACAATGCCGAAATTGCGCGAACTACAATTAAAATTGCTGCCACATCTACCAGATTCGTCAGGTTTGGCCCCAGCCACTACTAAAATGGCCCAAGGAAAACGACATTTGTCCAACCAAAGATAAATTTTTCTGCGAGAGAGGTGCCGAAATGTTAGAGAAGCGATAAAATGATTGTTTTGATCTTGAAGGGAACCATATTGAAAATGAAATCGAATTTTGCCAAAAAATGTGTTTTTATAATTCAGCTTCGGAACTTTTCAACCCACGTGTTATATGAATTCAAAACTTTAGTGCTTAGTGAAAGTACCTTTACATCTTGGGGTTCGCGAAAAAGCATAACGGACAATTGTAACACTGTGTGTTGTGTTTGAAGAATGAAGATTCTGTGAACCAATTTAAAACAGATATAGTTATAAAAATAAAGCTCCATTGAGCAGGTTATCCAACTCGTGTATAGTAAAACTTAAGCTGAGTGAGAGCGAGGCAAACGTGAAATTTTAAACAACGATTCAAAATATTTTAAGTACCTGGGAAACCATATAAGCCTACTAGAAGTGGGCCTATAGGAAGTGGGCTTGTATGTACATCCTACATCTCCATATTCAGACACAAAAACTTATAATAAAATATATTATAATACTCAATATATATATTTATCGAACTTAATGAGACACATTAACTTTAGTTAATACTCGTATTTTATAAAACTTAAAATTATATAAATAAATAGATACAGATTACCCATACAGTAATCTATATTATAATGAAAACTTTACTTGCATCAAGTAATTTGCCATTATGTTGATTTAATCAAGGTACTCTTTAAGTTTTAATGCATAAGAAAAGTATAATTTTTCCTTTTAACTTGATTCCTATTAGCGATAAAAGTAACTTCGATTAAACTTCTGCTATTTGAATTGTTAACTCAATTGAATTGGTAAATACAATAGCAAGAAAAAACGTTAACATCCTCAGCTACCCACCACATAAGTAACTTTTATGGCGAAACACCGCATTTCCATATTCACATACTTGTAAAATGGTATATGCAAGTCCTTTATGCGAGCTCTAGTACCCGCCCTTCGCCAAGCATTGTCGTCAGTTGTGCTTAACAATGATTTCTTATTATGATGATTACTTTCGAAGCGCTACTTCCGCCGAGCACTCATAAATAAAAAAGCCACATATGGCGTAGCATCCGGTGTAGAGGCACATTACAGTGACTTAACGTGGAATCGTATTATCCCGGAGTACTGTACAAAGGACTATAAAAAATGACGAAATGAAGGCAACAAAAAAGTAATAATAAAAATAACATATAAAAGCAGTGCAATTGAAATGGAAATCGAAGTGGGCGTTCATGAGTTACTTACTCCTTTTTTATTGTTTCAAAAGAAAGTAGAAAGTTTATGAGTTTCATGAATTGCAGAGAATTGGATTTGCTCCTTACAAAAGAGAACTATGTGCACCAGTATTTTAAATTTCATTAATTTCTACAGTATATAAACACTAACAAAATTAATGAAAAGTTATAGAATATGATGTTCTCCCCACACTCCATTATTAAAATATTCACTCTAAGTTTATAAAAGAATACTTATAACAAAATGAATTTCAATACATTTTGTTTAAATATTGATAAATTTAAAATAATCAGCTTTAGAAAAAGTTTTCTTTACATGTGAAACTGAAGATACACACCAAAAACGTAGCTTCCAATAAAGTCGAAAAATCTGAATGCGGCACTTAAGCCATCGTATAAACTTAAAAATATTCTGCAATTGACAGTTCCTTCGTAGATGCCGCGTCTGTCTGCTGCATCCTTGTTTTTCAAAGGATTTTTCTGTTTCTGAGATTTTATTTTGAGAATTTATTGTTGTCACACTTGTGAATATGAGTTCATTATTTTCCATGCAAAACTTATGTGAAAACAATTTAATTTTATTGTTTTTCTCATAAATTCTAAATAGAATTTCCCAATTTCTTCCTCCTTCTGGAAGGCATTTATGCGAAATATATGAAATAATTGAGTCACGTTTTGTGAGGTTTCACAAAATCAGTCAAATTTATGCAAAACATAAAATTTAAGGACTCTCAATCAATTGAGTTGAAATATATGTGAAAAATTTGCATATATTTGACAGAAGTGATTTGGGGTACATATTCCAATAAAAAATGTATTCCTTATTAATAATTCGAAATTGAATATTATGTAAATATTTGCTGGAAAAATACACGCAAAGGATTTATATGAATTTTTTTCCAATTTTCACTTTCACCTAAAAAGCATTGACTAGTGCCATTGTAATATGTTCGGAATATCAGATATAAGTTTTTGGAAGAGTTCACGTCTTTAATCGACAGTTCCATGAAGCTACCTTCTGCTCAAAAAGTTGGATTTTGTAAAAAAAACATACAAATTTAAATTTTATTCCAACTTTATTTTATCTCCTTCAATATATACTCCTTCTGAAGCGATACACATATGCCAATGCTTAACCCAATCTTTCATACATATTTCGTAAGCCCGTTCTCTTTTACCGATTCAATCGACTCAAAACGCTTACCACGAAGGGTCAATTTGAATTTCGGGAACAGGAAAAAGTCGCACGGCGCCAGATCTGACGAATATGGTGCCTGAGCTATGACAGTGGTGCCGTGTTTAGTCAAAAAATCGCGTACAACAAGAATTTTCCATAGTAAAAATCGCTAAATGCACTTGAGGTAGTCTCACATTAACAGCTGCTGTAAACAAACTAATTGACAGATAGCGCTCAAATTTGTACCATGTGACAAGAAAGGGTGTACCAACATAACAAAAGAAAAATTTTTGAAAAGGTCTATACTTAAGGAGTAGTTAAGAAACAACAAAATCCGAATACTTTTTGAGCAGAAGGTATAATGTTTAGAAAAAACTACTACTTTTCAACACTGTTAATTGTGTCAATTTTGGTTACTGACATTTCAACCAAACGAAAAATGAACCTCAGAGCTTAAGAAATTTTGATCCGAATAATCGGCACCATTTGTGAACAAATTTTCACAAATAACATATACACTTAAAATCTAATAATAATTTCTACTGAAATATCTGAGGAATAATCTTTTGATGATAATATTTATCTCTTTATAATTAATTTCATACACAATCGAGTCAATACCACAAATTTCTTAAGTATGATATCGGAAACCAATACCATATTTTTTCATTAATTCAATTTTATGAAATATTTCATTTATTTTATTTTAACATCTCGCTTTCGTTAATAGTCATCGATATTTAATTCACTTTCGCTTTTTATTTTTTTTCAATATCATAATATAAACTTCTTTCTATTCAACATTTTTTTTTTTTTTTTGGAAGAAAAATATTTACCAAGTGTTACATGTTCGTGTATGAATTTCGTCTCCTTGCACTGCAATCCAAAGTAAAAGTATCCAGAAAAACAAGTTGTTTTGCTACATCCCGACTGGGACGATACGTGATCATATTTGCACTGCATACTGCATGTCAATAAAGGGAGCAGCAAAAACTTACCAGATACGTGCTGGAATCTGCCAAACTTATATATTTTCGGAACATATGTAAACATTTTCTAAATAAGCAGCAATACGTTTGTAAGATATCACTAATATCCATAGCAATACAAATTTTATAGACAGTCATAACGACATAATTGTAATGCTACAAATGTTAAAATTGTTGTCATGGAATTTATATATTATGTACTATTTATATATTATTCCTATTGAAAAAAATTCATTACTTAATATTATATATTAGCAAACCTAACATATAGGCATGAACATATTTGGGATGCCCCTTCCTACAATTGGAGTAACGTCTCTAATTATAATCGAATTTAACATCTCCAAACAAAAATCTTTAAAACTACTGAAGACTTTTCAGTAAAATATTTATAAAAATATAATTATATATATATTCAGCTAAAATATATATAGAAGTCCTTGTACCCAAACATTCATATATACCAACATTATCTTCACTTTTTATGCTTAACATAATATGCGGTTGAGACCCCTAAGAATATGGGGTCTATGATTTATCCCACCTCTTTCACTTTAGTCATTTATTTAAGGGAAAATATTTGTATTAGCTCATGAAAACTAAATTTAATATTTTATCTGCCCTTGTAAAATACTTTGAATATTTTCGCGACCCACAGTTAGTTTGGTAAGACTATATCTGTGTCTTAAGAATAACCTTCATTCAAGAATGCAACAGTATTTTTGTTGTTAGTAATGAACTCACTGGATTGAATAGTTTTTATTGATGTTTGGAACTGTGGATTCGGCTTAATAGTTAATTTACTGCATAATTATTTCAATCCCCTTTGAAGACAATCCCTATTACCTATCTTATAAGTTTGTTAAGTAGTTTGTTCCCATCGAATCCACTGAACTCAGAACTCAAGCAAGTATAACTTAATTCAAATTAGTAGCATACGAGTACGATGAAGTGTAGCCATATAGGTTTAGTAAACCAAAATAGAAATTAATTTGTCATAGTCTAGCTACTGGAATATAAAAAAATGCAAATATATTTTTATAAAGAATGTTTCTGACACAAAATTGAAATAGCATAAATTTTTGACAAAACAAAAGGCGTAAAATAACTTTCTATTGGAATTACTAGACTTCACCTACATTCATTGATACATTTGAATACATTCATTGAATTGATCCATTAACGGAGTAACATCAGATATCACATAGCTGATAAAAGTCCGCTATGTTCATTTAAATGCAGAGAATTTTTAGAATTCACAAAGAGTTTTAAGGAAAAAATCGATTTCTAAGTTACTTAGAATGTAACTCGTTTCTGTTTCGAATAAGTCTGGAACTGGCATTTATATCGAATTTAGTTAATAAAAATTACACGATTTATTTTATTGCCCCTAATATACTTTTTCGACTGCTGATTCATTATGGAAATATATTAATCTATGAATTTTTCTGTATTGATACAAGAAGATATAGGATATATATAAAGAAATAAAAAATATTATTTGGAACGCCTTAAGTGTTGCTTTCTGAAGATCCGTATACTTTAAAAAGCAGTTCTTACAAAAATTAAGATATATAATTTATATCATCCATACTTATCTATTGTACTGTTTACTTCCAATCAAAACACCTAACCGAATTTATAGCACTCAACATGAAACATATTTCCCAATTTAATTTATCTGTATCTGTTCAGCATGCTGACATGTTTCCAAGGATAATCCAACAAATTCATCTTCGTTGTCGGATATTGTTCGTAAAAACTTCATTTTAAAATGTTTCTACTACTCGCATTCCCTACTCTTGTTTCAGTTCTACTCACTTTTCGTTAGAAAATATTCCATCAGTTTGGATGCGAATATTTCGTTTAAAAACGTGACGTGATTATTTGATTTTTCCGCACAAAACTTTTGCAATTCACAAATGGAATTTCACTGAATTTTTACGAAAGGAGTTTTGGCATAGAGAAACAAAGCCAAATGAAAGGAAATGAACTTCATTGACAGCTTCATCCGTTTGGTTGTGTCTATTTTGTTTCCGTATCATAGCGCATTTGAATAGAAAAAACAGCAAATTTTACAAGTGATAAAACATTAAAGGAAAATATCACAAACGTAAAGTATAACAATTTTGTACTTTCAATCCATCTCTATCAGTATCCACAAAAAAATAATTAATTTCTTTAACAAAGTGAACTGACAGCATTACGTCAAATAGAAAATTTTGGAATAAACTTATTTACTGAGAACTTTAAAATTTAATATTTCAACATTTCAAACTTTTGCATTAATCACTTGGCTCGTCACACTCAAACACCCATAATTTTGGGGTTGCAAGGCTGAATGATTCGGTTACAACTGCACACCCCTTTCCAGAGAATTTTGATGTATGAACTTTTTCATTTTGTCCAGCCTTGAGCAAATCATTAATAAATTTTGGGGTTAAAATTCCATTACTTTTGCTAGTCATTTGGCAGTCCATTCAATAACACTGGCACACCCCCATCATAAATCTCTGTCTTCCGTTTACTTAATCATATTTACTTAACAGCGAAAAGAGCAAAAATCTTCCATAAATTTTCAACACAAATTTTGATTTAATTAGTTTTGTTTAACTTGATTATAGACTAGAAATCAATTTGGACTCCTCAACCGATGTTTTCACTGTAATCTTATCGCTTTTTAAAGGGTTAAAAATTTAATCTGGAGTATGAAATTACAGATTTTTAATATTTGCGTAGCTGAGTTTGCTCATTATAAACTTAACACTTGTTGAACCCTTTTTATGAAACATTATCTTTAATGAAGTCTTGGAAACGATTATATTTTACAAATAAAGAAAATATAATATATATGTACATGTGTATACATAGTTGAAATGGATTAAAAATACATTACATATCTATCTTAGAGAAGAAATCCATATGTATTTCATATTAAGTCAAATGCATTGAAAGCTATTAGTGTTATTATGTTCATCTTCTATTTATGATAAGGAAGACAGGTAACGCTTTTTAATTTTGATCATCGATGAATTCCTTTGCTTATAGTTTAATTAGTTTGATTATGTGAGTTCTATTTAGTATACTTTCAGTTATCTGAAGACACAACACAAGTCTCATGGATTATAAATCCTGATATTGTTATTGTTTTACTGTCACTGTCTGACCAGCATAAGTAGTCAAAATTGAATCAGCTATAGCGATAATCAGTGCAAGTAGAGTAAAAGATCGATATTGCAAAGATAAAGACTCATAGACACACCAGCAATTCTTCACACTTTACATGTAATAGGCAAAGTATTTCACATGCAGAGAAAACCCTTATGCAGTCGGGTTTCAAAAACGCACCTCAAATTCGTAGAACTGCAAGATATGTAGCGAACTAACAGCAAAATCAGAAATAATACTACAATTTTAGATAAGAATATAGAATCCTTAATATATAAATTGAAATCCTTAGTGACGACTACCGAAACAGAATCAAAACAGGAAACTCATATTAATAAATGCGTCCCGAATAATTTATTGACAAAATCAAGAATTATGAAAACTGATGAATCGAAAGAATAACGATATAAAACACATAAAAAAATGAATAAACCATAAACCATGCCTTCATTTAAGCCGCTTATAAAGCTCAAAAAACTAAACGAAGAAGAAGAACTTCCTATAGACCTGAATTTTTTCAAAGCAAAGAAACCTTTGCCTTTTTAAAAACTTTAAAAAAATTTTTAGTTATATTAAATTTTTTTCATTGAAAATAAAAAACCATAAATAAAGTTAAAAAATTCTTCTTCACTTGAAGCCAGTAGAATTTCTTTTAAATCATTAACTACTTCGCATCTTATCAAAA